GCCGGTGTCTCCCCCCCCGCCTGCTGACCTTCTTGTCTACGGTCCTGTGTTCCCGCCGCCGGACTCGTCTCCAGCCCGTCTTCCTCCTCGTTCCCCTCCTGTGTCTCCTCCGCTGTCCCCTGACCCTACACCTCCGTCTCACGTTTGGGCTCGCCGTCCCTCCCGTGCTCGTCCTGTCTCTCCTGTCCTGCCCACCCACCCTATGTTGTTCCCGCTCGCCGTTCCCGCTCGGCTCGTCCTCCCGTCCTCCCGTCCCCTCCTCCCTCGTCTTTTGCTGTTGCACCTCCTCCGTTCTCTGACTACCTCCGTGCTGCTAGTCCCCTTGTCCCTCGGGTCCTTGCCTCTCTTGTTACCGACCCGTCTGTTCCCGTCTCGCGCCTTGACGCGCTTGTCGCTGCCGTCACTGACTTCGCCTCTACCCGCCGCCTCGACTACGCTACTGCTCTGGTCTTTGACCCTGCCCGTCCTCCGTCCGTCGGGGGTGCTCCTGCCCTTGGCAGTGACGTCCTAGAGGACAGGCAGTACGAGCTTGCTTTCCTGTCCGAGGCCGCTCCCCATCTCTGCTCCATGCTCCTAGTCCCTGAGGGTGACCCAGACGCCTTCGACATCCCGACCCCTCGCACCTACGCTGAGGCCACCTCGAGACCTTGGGCCTCTCAGTGGATAGCTGCCATGGAGCAGGAGATGGCATCTTGGAGGTCCACCGGCACTTACGTCGACGCAGTTCCCCCGCCTGGGGTGAACGTAGTCGATGGTCGGTGGCTCTTCAAGGTGAAGCGCCCCCCTGGAGAGCCGCCTGTCTTCAAGGCGCGCTACGTGGCCAGAGGTTTCAGTCAGCGCGAGGGGGTGGACTTCTTCCAGACCTTCGCCCCGACCCCGAAGATGACCACTCTTCGGGCGCTGCTACACGTAGCAGCACAGCGTGACTACGAGCTTCATTCCCTCGACTTCTCTACTGCCTTTCTTCAGGGCAGCCTACACGAGCAGGTCTACCTGTGCCGACAACAGGGCTTCACTGGTACCTTCCCTCTTGGGACCCAGTGGCTTCTCAGGCGCCCAGTCTACGGCCTGCGTCAGGCTCCCCGCGAGTGGCACGACACGCTACGTGCCACGCTAGCAGACCTGCAGTTCTTTCCGTCCTCTGCTGACCCTTCACTGTTTGTGCGTTCCGGCCAGACTCCGTTCTACATCCTTGTCTACGTAGACGACCTGGTTTTCGCTACCCCTGACAGGGACGCACTGGCCTCTGTGAAGACTGAGCTACTGAAGAGACACACATGCACTGACCTTGGAGAGCTGCGTCGCTATCTTGGCCTGCAGATCTCTAGGGACAGAGCAGCACGCACCATCACTCTGATACAGTCACACTTGGTGCGTCAGGTCCTTCAAAGGTTCGGTCTTCAGTTCTCCTCTGCACAGCCCACACCTCTACCTGTAGACCACGGGCTTTCCGCTCCTGTTCGTGAGGAGCCAGTAGAGCCCAGTGGCCCCTACGCAGAGCTGGTGGGTTGCCTCATGTACCTGATGACTTGCACTCGCCCAGATCTCGCATACCCTCTCAGCATCCTGGCTCGCTTTGTGGCCACGGGCAGACACCGACCACAGCACTGGTCGGCCGCTAAGAGGGTTTTGTGATATCTAGCAAGTACATCAGGCATGGGGTTAGTGTTAGGAGGACGCAGGCCAGTGGTACTCACTGGGCACACAGACGCTTCTTGGGCAGACGACTCTGAGACGCTCAGGTCGTCGCAGGGCTACTATTTTAGCCTTGGTTCGGGTGCTATCTCTTGGAGATCCACTCGCTCGTCGTCTGTTGCTCAGTCGAGCTGTGAGGCTGAGATCTACGCTGGTGCCATGGCGGCACAGGAGCTCCGCTGGCTGACCTTCTTGCTCACAGACTTAGGTGAGCGGCCTAGCTCTGCCCCGGTCCTGTACGCTGACAACAGGGCCATGATACTCCTGTGTCAGGAGCCTCGACTAGAGGGCAGAGCGAAGCACATCCAGCTGCGGTACTTCCTCCTGCGCGAGCTACAGCAGCGCCGCCAGGCCCGCGTAGTTCACTTGGCCTCTGGTGCCAACACAGCTGATATCTTTACGAAGGCACTTACGCCTAAAGATCATCAGCGGCACTGTGTACAGCTCGGTCTAGTTCCTGTAGTCTCTCACTTGCTAGGACCTTGACTTTGTACTGTCCTATATATATCTATGTATGTACTCAGACTGGACTTGTGTCCTCTCCCAGTGGCTGGACTAGTAGTGCCGCCCTGGTCTTGCTTTTGTCTTGCCTGTACTCCTTCTGACTGGTCTTTAGACCCTTGTCTCAGTGGCTGGACTAGTAGTGCCGCCCTGAGCTGCTTGTTTAGGATTTGCCCCTATGCAGTCTAGGGGGTGTGTCAAATATATGCATAACTCATAGTTGTATAGACTGTATAGGGTCACCTCTTAGAGGGTACAACACTCTTAGGTATATACCCTTGTTCTCTCTCTCATTATTCAACACTTATTCAGTTTTTTCTTCTAACAAACATCTCCCACAATCACCCACGCCCGGTGCATGTTCGTATGACGCATAGAATGTACTGTATCCACTCGGATAGGCGCCCCACCAGGGGATAGGACCCTGGGTCCTTTAATAAGCTAATGGGGCTTATGCGCATTATTTGATTAAAAGCCCGTCCCCCTTTGGAGAGCACTTCGTCAAGCCCCTAGGAGTGAACGAGAGTAATATTTTTATACCGAATGTGTTAGAAACAGAAAGGTTCAGTTTATTGATGAAGCAAAGGCATTACATAGGAAGAGAGGGATGAGCTAGGAAGGGAAGGTTGGAAGGGAAAAGGGGGTTAGGACCAATCACAAGGGAGGGAGGATCCTTCCAAATGTGGTTGACCACCAGTTGGAGGTGGTCCAAGTGTGGTGTACCACCAGTGGTTTAGCCAACCCACTTGTGGTGCCCCCACAATTGTGGTCCTTGTGTTTGGGGGCTCCAACCACAATTGGGTTGGATTGACACCCCAACACAGGTGTACACCCAACTAGGGATGTAAACACAATATACACAACTAGCATAGCATGGTATATTCTAACACAACCCCATAGCATGCAAAGCTAGTGTATATGTAGGGTACAACCCCAGAATCAGGAAGGGGGGCGGGGCCCAAGGCGAGAAGGCGTAGGAGGGCAGAGTGCGCGGTCTTCGGGAGGGCCTTGGTGAAGATGTCGGCCAAGTTGGCCTCTGCAGCGATCTTGCGGACCACCAAGTGACCTTGCTGGACCAACTCTCGAACGAAGAAGTAGCGGAGTTCAATGTGCTTGGAGCGGCCATGGAAGACAGGGTCTTTTGTGAGATGGATGGTGCTGGCGTTGTCGCACCAGAGAGTGGGACAGCGCTGAGGAGCACCGATCTCAGCAAGGAGGAAGGTGAGCCAGCGAGCCTCCTGAGCGGCCATGGTGCAAGCATAGAGCTCAGCCTCGCAGGATGAGAGGGCGATGGAGGAGGAGCGAGTGGAGCGCCAGCTGATGAGGCCGCTGCCAAGGGTGAAGGCGTAGCCTTGAGAGGAACGGCGATCCGGCTGGGAGTCAGCCCAGGAGGAGTCACTGAAGCCAGAGAGGAGGGGAGGAGAAGAGCCTCCGAGGGTGAGGACATAGTCCTTGGTACCACGGAGGTAGCGGAGGACCCGCTTCGCTGCAGCCCAGTGCTCATCAGTGTGGCGACTGGTACCGACGAATCGAGCAAGAACACTGATGGGGTAGGCAAGGTCGGGGCGGGTGCACATCATAGCGTACATCAGCGAGCCGACGAGCTCAGCGTAAGGATGGTCAGAGGAGGAAGGAGCAGGAGGAGGGGCAAGCTGGTGGTCGGTCTGCAGGGGAGTGGTAACCGGCTTGGCCTGCGCCATGTCGAACCGCTGCAAGACTTGGTCGATGTAGAAGGACTGAGAGAGGGTAATGGTGCGCGATGTGCGGTCCCGGGTGATGGTCATGCCCAGATAGTGCTTGAGCTCACCCAGGTCCTTGCACTTGAGGCGCGCATGCAGGGCGTCCTTCACTTGCTGCATGGCGGCAGCATCGTCAGCGAACAGGATCATGTCGTCGACATACACCAAGATGAAGAAGCGGGTGGGAGAGGAGCGAAGGAAAAGGCTGGCATCAGACTGAGAGGCATGGAACCCCAAGGACTGCAGAGTGGCGGCCAGCTTGTTGTGCCACTCGCGAGGAGCCTGCTTGAGGCCATAAACCGGGCGGCGCAGCTCCCAGACTGTGTTGGCAGGGAAGGCTGCATGAAAGCCTGGAGGCCGCCGCAAGAGGACCCGCTCTTGGAGCTCGCCTTGCAGGAAGGCGTTGGAGACATCCATGGAGGCAATCTCCATGCCAATGCGAACAGCATAGTCGAGGATGGAACGGAGAGTGGGGAGCTTGGCAGTGGGAGAGAATGTCTCCCAGTAGTCGATGACATGGGTTTGGGTGAAGCCCTTGGCACAATACCGGGCCTTGTAGACCGGCTCCTCACCCGGCAGCTGCTTCACTCGGAACACCCACAGGCCTTCAACAATGACGTCGTCAGGAGAGGGGACAATGTTAACGAATGAGGCATTGCGGATGAAGGCCTCGCATTCAGCAGAGATAGCCTGGATCCACTTGGCAGCATCGGGGCAGGTGATGGCCTCAAGGAAGTTGGACGGAGTGAATCTGGTGGGAGCGGTAGCGATGCCAAGGATGAGGAGGCCAAGGAAGCCCGGGTAGAGAGGCGTGAGGGAAGGTGTTTGTTGCTGAACGCCAATGAGCTCCTCATGGGAGTCCTCAATGAAGGGAAGGGAGGGTGGGGGTGGTGTTGGCCAACCCCATGGATGGCCTATGAGTGGGCCGTGAGAGCGAGTGTGGATGCGTGGGAGGATGAACGGAGAGGTGGTGCGGCGATGCCGATGAGGTTGCTGCAGTGGCTGCTGCTGCTGCTGCTGTTGCTGCTGTGGCTGCTGCTGGTGCTGCTGCTGCACCTCCTGCTGCGGCTGCTGTTGCTGCACTGCCTACGGTTGCTGCTGCTGCTGCTGCTGCTGCTCCATCCGCTGCTGCACCTCCTGCTGCTGCTGCTGCTGCTGCTGTTGCTCCATCCGCTGCTGCTGCTGCACCTGCTGCTGCTGCTGTTGCTGCTGCTGCTGCTGCTGCTGCTCCTTCTGCTGCTGCTGCTGCTGGTGCGATGAGGCAGAGTGAGCATGGGAGTCAGGGACAGCTGGGTCGTAAATGTCACCTGAGGAAGGAGGAGGGGGAGGAGCAGGATTTGGAGGAAGGAGGGGAGCCTGGGGAAGGAGTGGGGGAATGACAGCATCAGCCCAGGTGAGGGGGCGGGAGAGAGGAGGAAGGGGGTCGGAAGGCGGAACAGAATGATAGAACGGGATGCTCTCATCGAACACCACGTCACGGCTCTGTAGGAGGCGGCCTGAGGACGGGTGAAGGAAGAGGTAACCAGGGGCAGAGCGAGCGTGGCCAAGGTAGACACACTCAATGGCCTTGGAGGCGAGCTTTCCTGCCTGCCGAGAGCGGTCAGGTGGGGGGATGAGGGCATATGCCTTGCAACCCCAGATACGGAGAATGGCAGCATCTGGCTTGGTGCTAGCCCAGAGCTCAATGGGAGTGACAGACTGGCGTTGAGGATGTGGGTAAAGATTAGTAAGGAGAGCAGCATGGACAAGGGCATAGCCCCAAAGAGAAGGGGGCGTGGAGGCATGAGTGAGGAGGCAGCGAGCCGTCTTGGTGATCTCACGAATGCGACTCTCAGCAACACCGTTCTGCTGAGGGGAGTGGGGAAGGGTATGAGTCTGCTGGATGCCATGGGTTGAGCAGTAGGAGGAGAGGGTGCGGTTGAGAAACTCACCACCGCCGTCGGAATGGAGGCGGCGGATGGGGCGACCAAAGTGGACTCGGCACTGCTCGGCCCAGGTAACGATGACAGCAGGGGCCTCGGCCTTCGTGTGGAGGAGGAACACCGAGGAGTACCTGCTGTGGTCGTCGACTAGGACAAGCATGTACCGGTGCCCTTGGCGGGAAGGGGAAGGGTTAGGGCCCCAGAGGTCCATGTGGACGAGGTCAAGGGGGGCAGCAGCAAAGGAAGGATGACTGAGGTGAGGCTGTTGTTTGAGCTTTCCATGAATGCATGTGGCGCATGGGGGAGCGGAAGAGGACGGGAGGGGAGGAAGAGTGGGGGGAAGACCGTCAAGCAAGCGGGAGGAGACAGCTTTACGAAGTGTGGGAAAGTTCATATGACCAAGGCGGTGGTGGATGAGAACAGCGGGGTGGGACAGTGCGCGACAAGAGCATGGGGAGGAGGTGGAGTTGGAGGAAGGTGGCTCTAGAGGGAGGGGAGGGGGGAGAGTGGAGGTGCCTGCACGAGTGGTCACGTGGCATGAGGAGGGGCGCGGTGTGCGGAGGATGTACTGACGAGAGCGAGGGCAAAGTGGGAGGCGATGAAGGAGGCGGCGAGTGGGGCCGTGGAGGAGGTCACATTAGGTGGCAGAGGCGGGGAAGAGGGTAGTGATGCCAGCCTGTTGGAGTTCACGAATGGAGAGCAGGTTATGACGAAGGGAGGGAATGTGGAGACCAGTGACCACTCCAGAGGGGAAGGGGGGGCAGGGGAGGGTGGAGAGATGAGTGCAAGGGATGGAGAAGCTGGAATCAGCACCATGAACGTTGGTGGGGAAAGGGAGGGAGGTGAGGGTGCCGGCGTCTTTGAGGGCAGTTTCGGTGGCACCACTATTGAGAACAAAGTCAATCGTGAGCGAGGAGGGAGCTGAAGACACGGGGTACTGGAAATCACTGGCATTAAAAACAGAGGGATACATGGAAGTGGAAGCAGGGGAAGAACGCATGAGCTCGCCTAGAAAGCTGGAGTGGGAGGCGGGAGCACTAGGGGAAGGAGAGCCCCAGAGGGGAAAGCCAGGAGGACCTGGTGTGGCTGTGGCAGCCATGGCGGCGGTGCCAATGCCAAGCTGCTGCTGCTGCCATGCAGATGCTGCGGCTGCGGCTCCTGCAGCTACTGCTGCAGCCTGACCACCAGAGCCCCACTGCTGCTGCTGCTGCAGCTGCTGCAGCTGCTGGAAGCGGTGAAACTGCTGCAGCTCCTGGGGAGTTATGGGGTCAGCGACAGAGGAGGAGGAGGAGGAGAGCTGAAGATGAGAGGGGAGGAAAGACGGAAGAGTTTTGACATCCTGGAGAGAGGGGCGGGGATCCATGGCAGACCAGCGTGGGGGTGTGCCAGTGTTGCCGCGCTCAAAGCAGGCGTCATCATACGCCTTGAAGCAGGTCGCGGGGGGATGGTTGGTTTGGGTGCAGCGCTCACCCGCCCTGGGACCAAAACGGCGAAGATAGGAACATGGGGGGAGAGTGCCAGGGCGGCCACCACGGCTACCAGATGAGCCACTACTGCCTCCACCACCACCACTGCTACCACCCTCGACCCCGCCACCACCGCCGCCGGCTCCGCTGCCCCCACAACCGCCACCTCCACCCCCTCCCTGAGGGTTGGTGCGGCCGCCACGTGGGCGCCCGCCACGACGCGGCTGTGTGACTGCAAGCTGGGGGTTTTGGGACTCGGTGGAGTTCAGGCCGGAGGGGGGGGTTGAGAGAAGGCGGGCCTCAGCGTCAATGATCCATTGGACCACAGTGTCAAGGGAGGCGCGGGGGTGAGCCTCAGTGAAGGCGATGACACGCACTTCATATTGAGGGGAGAGGCCTTCGAGGAGACGGTAGATCTGAAGGTTGGGGGGGAGAGTAGTCTGGCGAGACTCAAGGCGGGAGGCAAGGTCCAGGAGATGGCTGGTGTAGTCAACGGCGCCAGCACTGTGTTCGATCGTGATGCTGAAGTATTCCTTGAAGAGCGGTCCGACAGCATCGAAGTCGGTGCGTTCGAACATTGCCTCAAGCTCGAGCCAGATCTGGCGGGAGCCGATGCGACGTGCCTGGAAGTTGCGCATGAGCGCAGACGGGATGGCAAGGAGAAGGGCACCAGTAGCACGGCTGTCCGCCTCGAGCCAGGCGCGACGACGCTCAGCAAATCGCGCAGAGTCAGCGGCATAAGCGGCGGCGGTAGCGGCATGCTGGGTGCGGAGGGTTGCCGACCGCTCGTGTTCCTCCAACGCGATCAGGTAATCAGTATGGAGCACGAGGAACTCACGACGCTGAGTAAGGAAGAGCTGCTCAACTTCAGCGGTGGCAGCGCGAGTGCTGGTGCCAACGGGTACCATGGGGGGCGGAGGTTCCTCGCCGGGATGGGGAATGAGAGGGGGGGGATCGCCAGGGTGAGGCGGCGGGTCCCCAAGGTCACCCTCTGAGAGACCAAGCATGATGTCCATGAGGCGGAACGGCAGGACATAAGCACTGCCGAGGACGCGGTGGAGGCTGCCGACGAAGGAATACCAGTTGGTTGCTGAGTTGTCAGCAGTGCGCACGAGATGATCGAGGGTCGAGACGTCGACGGGAGGGGGAAAGGATGCCATTGGTGACACGGAGTGGGAGGAAGGCGACGGCGGGTGGACCCGCGGTGGCCGGGAGGGAGCGGCGGCGGGTGGACCCGCGGCGGCTCAAAGAGGAGGGGAGGATGGGGATGGCTGTAGATACTGCTGCTGCTCCTGCTGCTGCTGCTGCTGCTGCTGCTGCTGCTGCTCCTTCTGCTGCTGCTGCTGCTGCTGCTGCTGCTGCTGCTGCTGCTGTTGCTGTTGCTGCTGCTGCCGCTGCTGCTGCTGCCACTGCTGCTGCTGCCGCTGTTGCTGCTGCTGCTGCTGCTGCTCCTTCAGCTGCTGCTGCTGCTGCTGCTACTGCTGCTGCTGCTGCTGAGTCTGCTGCTCCTTCTGGTGCTGCTACTGCTTCTGCTGCTGCTGCTACGGCTGCAGCAGTGGTAAGGCGGCGATGAGCAGGTGCAGGTGAGGAGGCAAAAGATGGGGAAAGATGGCAGTTAGCTGATGAAAATAGGACTTGGTAGAAATTTCAGTAGCACTTCGTGATCACATCCAGGAAAGTGTGCAAACTTCGGAAAGCGATATCTGACAATCCAAGCGATGAAACAGTCCGAAATTTTACGACGTTGTAGCTGACACCAAGAGCGTTCTTTTGCAAGTCAAATCACTCAATTCTGTCAACTATCGAGCGAGCTATGACGTTTGGCGCATTGGGGGTTTTTGAAAATCCACCCAACAGAAAACTAGTTGAGAGGCAGCGGCTAGGAGTCTAGCAGCGGCGATGGAGGGGACGGCAATGAGGTGCATGTCGGAAGGGGACGGGGCGGAAGCGTGGGGAAGGATCGGGATTTAAAAGTTGGCGTGAGCCATTATTGCTCTATACCATGTTAGAAACAGAAAGGTTCAGTTTATTGATGAAGCAAAGGCATTACATAGGAAGAGAGGGATGAGCTAGGAATGGAAGGTTGGAAGGGAAAGGGGGGTTAGGACCAATCACAAGGGAGGGAGGATCCTTCCAAATGTGGTTGACCACCAGTTGGAGGTGGTCCAAGTGTGGTGTACCACCAGTGGTTTAGCCAACCCACTTGTGGTGCCCCCACAATTGTGGTCCTTGTGTTTGGGGGCTCCAACCACAATTGGGTTGGATTGACACCCCAACACATGTGTACACCCAACTAGGGATGTAAACACAATATACACAACTAGCATAGCATGGTATATTCTAACAGAATGATCACGCAGCTTTTGCCGAGTGCATTTGCCCTCATTCCACAAAATTCTTCTCTGAGACAGCGCACAGCATGTTTCTTCCGCCGGAAGAAAACCAGCTGCCGTTCCAGGTTCTCCCTACACCCTCCGAAGACCATCGCAACGTTGCGGGGAGGGTGTAGCCATCTACAGACTACCAATAGTTGTTCATTCAGCGCGTCCACACTAGGGCCCTTTTTATCAGACGAAATTGGTCTGATGGTCTGATTTTCAGACCTGATTTTTTAGGTTCATCTGAAAGTTTAGACAACCCTGAAAAATCCGTCTGATTGTTAAGAGCGATGTTTTATTTTCATCTGAAATTTAAGACTGCAGGTAATATTTCGTATGAGTCTGCAGACAGCGTGTATTTTTTCGTCTGGAAACGTTTTCTGGAGGCTTGTGGTATGAGAGCGCTGATTGGCCCTTAGCCAAAATCAGGGCCCGATCAGGGCCTACTTTTGGATTTTTACTACTCTGATATTGGGGAGTGGCATTTTGCATTACTCTGAAAATCAGAGTGCATCCTCACAGTTTCTCTGATTTGCCAGGGTTTTTTTCCATTTTGAAAAATTTACATTGATAGTGCAGAGGGGAAATTTCCACAACTCTGTGCTCCTGTTGTGCACCCCGACAAAGGTTGCGGGGATTTTGTGGTTGGTCCGATCCGATAGACGTACGTTTTATTTCAAATACGCATACATACATTAGTCACCATGCTCATCCTCGTCTCCCTCTGAGGCACTCCCACAAGAGCCGCTGTCCTCCTCTGACTCATCGGACTCATCATGCTCCATGCCCTTGGCAGCATCACTGCTCCTCTCATAAGCCACTACTTTTGCCTGTCTGCGGTTCTTCTGGCGTCTCCAGATCTCCACGATCTCAGGGTAGCCCATGTCGTACTCCAGGAGGCTTATGGTCATCAGGTCGCCGAGTCTTGCATCACACAGGCTCGTCCTCAACCAGCTCTTGACGGCGTTCTGCCTGCTGAAACCGCGCTCGCACTCGACGGTGCTCAAGGGCAGAACCGCCATCGCCTGCCAGATCCTCATGAGATTCGGATAGCTCTTGGCCCAGTCCCTCGTCTTCAGCATGTTGGCGAGGCCTTGGCCGAAGTTGTCATCAGCACGGTGCGTCTTCATGATGTGACAGAAAGTCTTTAACTCCAGCTCAGCTGCTCGACCATCCACTCCTGTGGAAGCGCTCGAGCGGGAATCGAGACATGGAAAGCGAAAACATCGATTAAGAACTATGGTGGTGCTGCCACCGTTTTCCAAAACATGGATACTTGGATCTGCATATAGCGAGACGACATTGTGAGTGCTAGGGATACATGCATGAAGGGACCGAAAACATACATACCAGGAAGCTTGTTGTCAAACAGCTCCAGGTTCGACTTGACCCAAGTGCGCGCTCTTCGTTCCCGCAATTCCTGCTTCTTCGGCCATGTGTCCACCTTGTACAGCTTCGACCCGGCCATCCGCTTAAGGTCCCACATCCTCTGGTTCAGGTTCTGCACGGTGTCTTCAGCAAAGGCGGTACACAGCGTGATGCAGGCCGCCTTGGTGCCACCGTACCTGTGACCGGGCAGGGAGCTCTCCACGAGCTTGAAACTGTGGGAAACTGGGCGTCCGTCGTCATCCGCGCCGTGCACCACCACCTTGCCTCCATTCTCGTCATAGCTCTGCAGAAACTTGCTAAGCCGCTTGCTCAGCCCCGCGCCGAAGGTCTCGCCATACTCCACGTAGCGATGCTTGATGTACGTGACGGTGCGGTCGACCTCCTGCGAGACAAGGGTGATGTCGACCTGATGTGAGGGGGGGGTAATAAAAGCAGTGACAAGATGCGAAGAAGATAAGTTATTGTCGAAATTGAAGAAAGTCCACAATCCAACACATGACAACAGGCCACCGACGGCATGAAACACAGAGACCAACGGAATATGGGATAAAAACATACCGACCGCTTCTGGAAAAACCTGTTGAGCGTGTCGAGCTCAGCGAGGATGTCAGCCAAAAAGTTCAGACAGAAGTGGAACTTGAGCGTTTTGACCACTGGAACCAGCTTGTGGTTGTACTCGATGAGCACAGCAATTACAGCGCCGAGGACCCTGTAGAGTCGATTTACGGCATCTCCACGAGAAAGCCACCGGATGTTGAAGAGCCCCTGGTGCTCGAGGTTCGTGTTGTGGATGATCAGCTGGAGCTCCTTAAACCTCTCGTACCACGGTGTTGAACGCCCAACAATCTCGCCGAAGCCACGGATGACGATGTCGATGATCCAGAGGTCGGGGAAGGCGCTGGCTGCATCCTTCACTGCAAGGGCCTCACTGCGAGATACGAAGAATCATGCAAGGTCGAGCGAGTAGCATGGATAACAAATAGTCCGACATGCATTGCATGCGAGGAAACTGACTCAATCCGTCGGGGCTGCAAGGGGGAGACAAGTGTGGCTCAACCTGCATGAGCTCACCGATGTGCAATACAATGACAGCCAACGAGATGCGGAATGCGCACCCGAAGACGCGCTACCAGACCGTTGTGCTCTCCTGTCATGACAGACGCCCCATCCGTGCTGATGCCCGCCACCTTGTGAAGTTCGATGCCGCAAGAGTCTAGGTGCCCGAGTAATGCCATCTGCAGAGCTGCTGCGTCGCACTTGTCGAGAGTAAGCAGCGTCAGGAACTCTGTGACGACTCACCGCTTCTTCAAGAACGTCGCGAAGACGATGAGATGTTTGCCACGGGGTTCTGTCAGTTGACTCGTCGCAGCTCAATCAGATGAAGGGTGATGCGTGGATATGCTGCATCTGCTGTGCTTTCAAGTACGCCACCATTGCGCGCACCATTTCCTTGAAGCCGTATCTGCACTTGGAAGGGCATGGAAAAGCCGGAATTTAGTCGATGATTGATACGACAGCGGAGCAGTCGCAATTTCACCAAGAAAGAGTACCAAAAATCATGAGCCACCCCGGTACTTACTGCGTGATGTAGACGCCATAAGTCTGCTTCGGAATGTCCTTGACACCCTCCTCTGCCATGAACCCGACGAGCCGCGTGAACATGGTGATCGGGGCATCCTCCTTGCATATGAACAGCATAGTTCGAAGTTGACGAATGATCCTTGCGCCGTCAGGGTCGTGCTTCCCGAAGTCCTCCATTTTCTTCTGATTCTCGAACTCCTTCAGCAGCGCCTCTTGCTTCCTGACGGCGTTCTCGTGCCTTGTGCTCTCCTCATGCCAACGCATCGAGCCAATCTGGAGATCCCGTCCACCAGCACCGTTGCGCCCGTATCGTGCGTGGTCTTTGCCGTGCTCCATGCAGATACTGCAACGCAAGCAAGGTGCACCATCGTTAGTCTTATCCAGCACGAGCCAGGGGAATTTCGGTAACCAGTCGGCAGTGTACTTCCGTAGCGCGGCAAGATAGGCCTTTGCCATCTTCTCGGCGGGGGTTAAAGCAGCCGAAGGCAGTTGCTGTGGCACGGGCTCTGGCTCTGGTGGTGGCGGAGACTTAGGAGGAGGCGGCGCGAATGGGAGATAAGTCTGGTTGAAGCGACGCTTCTTTTCCGAGGCGGACGCAGGAGTTGAGGTAGGAGTTGATGCCGTTGATGTGGACGCTGGAGTTGATGTAGAGACAACAGGTACAACTGAAGGTTTGGCGACAGGACCAGCGTCAACCATAGCCTCCAAATTTCTGTCCCATTCCTCACTACTGAGAGAAGGCAGAGGCTGTGGCTCAACTGGAGCGGTAGCAACTCGACGGAGAAAGTCGAGCCCGCTAAGAGGGAGCGATCTAGGAGTTCGCAGATGGACAGACTCGTCGCCACCGCCATCGTCGGGCTCACTCGTGCCAGCCATGATGGCAGTGGCACGAGTGACGACGGGCGGCAGCGACGGCGAAGGTAAGCGGAGGTTTTCTTCTGCTAGGACGTTGTGAGAGATAGATTTGGTGAAGGGGAGGAAGGGAAGGTTGAACAAGACCAGGGTTTCGTCTGCTCTTCTTGGGGGTGAGTGAATTGTGGGGCGCCTCGGAGTGGGTGAGGGAGTGACGTCGGTCGTGCATGCATGGATGGTGGCTAAGGTCGGCGTGCGGTGGTGAGGGAACTGCTGCCAGCCTTGCAGTGAAGCTGCAGTCGTGACCAATCAGCGCGAAGGATGCTGCCAGCAGTGGCAAGGATGGCAGCATATGACGTGCCACTGTCTGGCGGTACGCGTAAAATGACGCGTATTGCGGGATATTGGGGCAAGGCCAGGTACAGGGTACATGGGAAATCTACAGGTATACCCCCTGTACACTAACCCTCAGAGGGGTACAAATGGTTACTCTGATATAATCAGAGTAAAATAAAACATCATTTTTTTTACTCAAGGCACCTAGAGTAGTTTTCAAAAACGACTCTGATTTTCAGAAAAACAGAGTAAATTA